CTTAATTTTGATTGGCTCACAAAGGAATTTACCGACGTTTGACTGCCTCGACTGCACTTTTCTGCATCTTTGTTGGTATACTATGGGGTGGGGTGGTAGTACTTGCCCGTCATTTTTGACGGTCAATACGCTAGTGTCAAATATAAAGCAGTGAAAACTACGTAACTTCTGTGTGTACGATACTTACTGTTGTGTCAAATATAAAGCACTACAAGCTACGTAATTGTGACTACGATATTTACTGTTATGTCAGACATAAAACAGTTTAAACTACGTAATTTCTGTGACCTTGATGCTTACTGTATTATTGAATACAAAAGCTATGCCAATCGCACTACACTAAATTACCTCAATAATTTCTGTCTTGTCGAATTTAGACCATTTCTACTACACAGAGTGGTGCTTTCCATCGTTATAGTAATGGGCATACATAGTTGTATCAGTCTATATACTGTATATAAAGAAGCGTATTTTTAATATGAATCAAGTGATTTCCACAGTATCCGTATGCATCTGGAAGTATTGATTTCTGTATTGCTGAAACAGGAAGCCGTTTCTGTCATGATTTATTTTTTACGTTCCTTCATTTAGCTGTCTTCGTGAAATTGTCTTCAAATTTGATAGTTTGCTAATAATCAATATATATTCATATTTCCACGATCAAAAACTTAACTATTTTGTGATCTGGAATTGACGGCAACTGCCTGTTGTAAAAGAGACACAAGTGTAGAGGACGACGTTTCGAAAGTCTTCCATCGTTCTGAAGATAAACCCTGAACAATAGGTTCTTGTTTTGTTATATCTTGGTCTGAGTGGGAAGGTTGTCTGTATATGTACTAACATAAAACTCTTCTGGACACTTTTTCCCCCCTGAATAAGGCGTTGGAAAGACAAAGTGTTAAGTGTGTCATCAGCTCAAAGCGAATGAACTCACTATGGACTTCAGATCAGTTGAAGTTATCATTATTGGCTAAACGACAACGATGTACATCTAGATGACCTGGTCAGTCACGGAATTTACCGCACACCTCATTTGGACTTTTTGTCGAAATCGTCAAAACTGGCAGCAAAGATGGGTCAACATTTTGTTTATTGACCAGTAACTAATTTGTTAAGCACAATGTTGATGAATATCACTCTTTCAGTTCTGCTGCGAAGCGTGGTCAGCTTGTATGGAAATACAAATCCTGTTGCATTTCCGAAGGGCAGATTTACTACTTGATATTTTAACATGATATTAAACCCAACAGAAAGACCTAACGTTGGTGCCCGTATACTTTGTCATGATGAAGATTAATGCCCAGTGTCATACTGCCAACATTCTGACACACTAATCTGAGCAAGAAGCCACAAAGTCGTGGTTTAACCAGCAAAAAGTCCTAATCTAGATCTCACCGCTGGGACCTTGGACGCTGTGTGTGTCAATGCTTTAACGAACCACGTGATGTCAAACGGCTTAGTGCTAAATTGAATAACAAAGGATACAGAAAAAATACCCTCCCCATAATGTCGCCCGCCTGTTGATTATAAGTATATTCAGTGGAAGCAGTGATGAAATCAATATCAAGAAGGGGGGGGGGGGATCATACTTGTTACTTGTTGTATATTTGCCAAATGTGGCCGTTTTAGACAAGTTGATCCAATTAGACCTTACTTCAGGTCATTATAGTTTTCAAAGTATTCATACAAAGCAGTATATTACTTATGTAACTGGTTCCAATGAATCAACTGCGCATCTACAATATACTCCAATCTCAACAATGTTGTTCCTTTGGCTAAAGGATAATTTAACCATACTGGCTTGTACTTGAATTTCTTGTTAGGAGTATGATAATACTGTGGTAACAAAGTTCAGAGAAACGTTTCACGAAATTAAAAAAA